GGGAGAAGGTGTCTTTTTTTATGTTAATGAAAACAACTTTTGGAAAGCACCTAAGGCTGGTTGCCAGGAGAACCAACCAAGCAAGTAGGAAGTTGGAACTTTCAGTCCCACCCCCAGGTTGAAGGTTCAATCAGCAGCCAACGGATAATGATTTAATCAATCATGCCTAAGTAATGAAGCTTCTGTAAAAACCCCAAAGGACAGTATCTGGAAAGCTTCTGGATAGGCGAGCACATGGAGACGTGGGGAGAATGTCGCCTGGAGAGGGGATGGAAGCTCTATGCCCCCTTCCCACATACCTGCCCTATACATCTCTTCTATCTGGCTGTTCCTGAGCTATATAACCTTTTATAAATCAGTGTTCTAGGAAGGGGCATATTTCTCTTTAGTTCTGTGAGTCTTTCTAGCAAATTAATTAAATCCAAGGAGGGGGCTAGGGAAACCTATAATTTATAGCCAGTTGGTCGGAAGTACCAGTAACAACCTGGACTTGTGATCGGCATTCTTAGTTGGGCAGGGGGGTGGAGGGGGTGCCACTGGAACCTCCATCTACAGCCAGTTGGTCAGAAGTTCCTTAACCTACGGAATCTATGTTATCTCCAGGCAGACAGTGTCAGAACTGAGTTGAATTCTCAGACTGTGCCAGTGTCAGAATTGTATGTTGGTGTGGGGGGACCCCGTCCCACTGTTGGAATTGGGTCTGGGGACCCTAAAGACCTAACATGTGCTAGGTTTAGGGGACAGAGACAAGAAGGTTACAAGTTTATCTAGGACAGTTCCAGTTTACCTCTGATGTCCTGGCCTAAGTACTAACACATCCCTCCCTCTTTTTTTCTCAAAAGTATCTTGGTTTGGACATAAATTAAAGTTACCCTAAGCAGAAATTGTGATTTACCTTCAGTGAGTTCAGTTTAATAGGGCAGAGACAAATGTATTCATTTTACATTTCTGCAAACTCTTTTCTACTCATCTTTGTGATTTACAACCTTGCTACCCAAAGAGGGGCCAACAGCCCAGCAGCATCCCCAATACCTGGAAGCTTATTAGAAATGCAGAATTCTCAGGGTCCACTACATACCTAATATGAATCAGAATTTGCATTTAACATGACCCCAGATTAACTATACACACATTAAGGTTTGAAAACCACTGGTTTATAAAACATGAATGCTTAATCATGTTAAGGCATAAACGATTCTGGCTGTTAATTTTTATTCACAGGGATTAAAAGAAATCATGGCTAGAGTAAGAGAAACAAACTCATTCCTCTCAAGTATAGATGACAGGAGTGCGTACACACTGGCCCTAAGCACTTCTATTTAAGGCTTGTCTTTTCTTTTCCACAAGCAAGATGAGCTAAATTGCCTCCATTCCTCTCTTCTTTAGACCTGGTTAAGTCCCTTTAATAGAATCTGAGCTATCTTTGATAAAAGGGTAAGTTGACAATACTCAAATCATAGAGTGTAGAGAGCCAGTATGTGATCTTGGAGTCTGAGGTCACCATATTTCCTGTCTTGTGTTTCATTATGAAAAGTTAAGAACCATTATAAGAATAGCGATGCCTTATAAGGCAATCATATCACAGTTTAGTATAAATATTCCTTTTAATATTAAAAGACTCAGGCATATAAAACATTTTAGATACACATTTCTCTTGCTACATGGAAAGCTTCATACTAGTATAAGAAGTGTTGGATCACCTCTAAGTTCCAGTTCAATTCTGAGATGCTCTGTGCCGATGGAGCTTCCCAGACATTCAGAAACTACATTACCTTTAACTGTTGCTGCAATTCACTATTCAATCTGGCCAAAACTGTGTTGGTTTCCTTATTGCGCCTAATTGATGCCTGAATAGCTTTCTTATCTTTCCCAACAGACCTGAGGAGATAAAGAGAGAATAAATAAATAACCTTCTTATCTTTAAATTCTCTCCATTCGGCCCTGATCTATCTCTAAACTAGAAAGTAGAGGGAGCATCTTTTGCCTATCAGTACAGTTTACCTTCACTTGCTCAGTTTCAACAGTCAACCAAAAGTATCTACGCTTCAGAAGCTTAATTTTTGCGGTAACTGTTTTAATTCTTCTTCTGTAAAATCACCTGAGTTGAAGTTAGTCTAGAGCAGGCATCTGTAAACTTTTTCTGTAAATCGCTAGAGAGTAAATGTTTTAGGCTTTGAAGGTCATATTCTTATTTTTTGTTTCTTTTCTCTTTCTTTTTTCTTTCTCTCTCTCTTCTCTGTTTTACAAAAATGTAAAAGCCACAGCTCACGGCACTTACAAAAACAGGCCATGGGCTGAATCTGGCCCGTAAGACTAATCTGCCAACCTCTGGTCTAGAATAACTAATTAAAATATCAGTGACTCTACACTGTTAATTTTTTAAAAGTCTGCAGTAGGGTACAAAAATAGAATTGGAAATGAACTCAGAAGGAAAAACTGGAAAGAATATTCTGCCTACTCATACATGAGAAAACTCTCAAAGAGCAACAATGAAGAGGCTTTCTTCAACTAAAGAACTATGACCATAATTTCCTTCTGTTTGATATTTTTAATCTCTGTGCTTTTTGTTCCCAGTAATTACCGTGTTTAGGAATGGCTTTGATTACCTAGGAATAGAAGGCTGTGATGCAAGAACACCAGCTAAGACACCTGTCTTTTGTGCATGTTCATCAACTTCTGGCCTTAACTCATCTTCTGATTTTAATCTTCTTCGAACAGGTTTGGGTGGTGGAGCAAGAGGGGTTGTACCTTTGCTCTGGAAGACAAAAATTCCATTAGTGATGAGCATTTCCTGAAGACACCCATGGTTAGTCAGAACTTCACCAACACCATCTGCTTTCCTTAAGCCGCTTATTCTCCTAAAATTAAGTCACTTTTCCTACTTTAAAACAATTTACAATTTGTAGCAACAGCTAACTTAAATTACAATAGGAGAGGATGTTCCTACTTGACATCACAATTGTGAATGTACCGACTAGACAGTTTATAAAGGGCAGTATCAGCTCCTCGTGACCGGAATCTGGCTCAAGCCTGTAGCAGTCACAGATTTAACATAATCATGACACATGTTCAATATATATCTGTTCAATAAATATAAGAGGAAGTCTCCAGAAATGTGCACCCATTATCACCACAGAATTTCCTACTCGAAAATACTAAAATACATCATCTTAATGAATAAATTAATTTATAAAAAAGTGAAAAGCTAGGCACTGTTAAAAAACCCTTTACTAAGGTCTATAATAATTATAACCCATGAAAATGAATAGACATTTTGTTGGAAACTGTGTCTCTGCCTTCAAAAGAATCAAATATGGTATTTTAGTATTTACCATAACCTGATTCGATTAGTTAATAAATGAAAGGACTCAACTGTCATCTCTTTGGTTAAATGCTATTTTTAATTTGTTGCCATGAACTGACAAAAATTAACGACTGCCCAGCTGGGTGTGGCTCAGCGGTTGAGAATTGACCTAGGATCCAGGTGATCGGGGTTCGATTCCAGGTCAGGGCACATACCCGGTTGTGGGCTAGGCAGCCGATCAGTGACTCATCATTGATGTTTCTATCTCTCTCTCCCCCTCCTTTCCTCTCTCTGAAATCAATAAAGATATGTTTAAAAATAAAAAAAAATTAACGATTGAGAAACACTACAGGACTACTAATGTAGTAAAGTGTCCATAAAGCAGAATTTAAGCACTTTCAGAAACAAATGCTATTTTAATAACTATTAGGAATGTCTGGATGAAAATAGAAAAAAAATTTAGCAAAACTTTTCTCTCAAGGAGAAAGAATACAAACAACAGATAAGAAGGACCGATAAAGAGCAGCGATTTTCAACCAGTGTGCAGCAAGAATGTTTAAAACACGCAAGACATGATTTTAGTTGGGGGCACTGACCTCTTTTTCCTGATTGTCAAATAAAAAAAATGACAACAGCCAACACAGCAATAGCTGTCCAGTGTGACTGAATCAAAATTATATATACATTTTTTGTCACATTGGCAAAATATATATTTTGGTGTGCCACAGAATTTTAGTAATTAGTTTACGAGTGCCGTGAGATTAAAAAGGTTAAAAATCGCCGATATTGACAGATATAAGAATAGAGATATGTAATAAAGTATGGTAAAATGTTAATTGATATACAAAGTAAAGTTCTTTCAACTTTTCTGTATATTTAAAATTTTTCATAAAATGCTGAAGAAAAATATTATCCCTAAAACAGTTAAAGAAAAAAGAGCACAGAATGTAACATTAACCTTAGAGTGTTTCACCAATAAGGAAGTTCTACTCTGTGTATTCAGAAGATTGCAATGCCACATAACTTATGAGAACTGTGGCATGCACCAATATGGATGACAGACTACCATCTAGAATGTTTAATAAGCAGATCATATTCTGTTTCAGACTAAATATGCTACAGTGAAAGACAGTGGAATGGGTTAGATGATCTCTAACTTTATTTCTAAGATTTTTGTCATCTTTAAAATCTTAAAAAGTGCAAATGATTTCCTATGACATTTTGTATGTACAAATGATCAGTATTATAAAAGACTTCCTGCATACCACATTGGCGGGAGCACTAGCAGCTGTCTTTTCTTCAATTTTACTATCTGTTTTGGCAACTCGAAGAGTACTTGCAGGATCAGAAGCTTTTTCAACCTAGAGATGAATATATTATTACTCATTATATATAAGTATTATATAATTATGCATAAACACATACGTAACACATCAGAGTAAAATGTTAAGAAAATATTCGTTGTGACAATAAGGAACCTGAGATGAAGATGAGAAGGAATTTGAGAAAATGACTATTCTCTAGTACCGAAGGTAAGAGAGGAGGGAAGGTAATAGACCTGAGGGTGTGGGGGAGAGCTGAGGATGCAGCCACAGCCGTTTAGGAAGTTCTTGTGGCTGGGGGAGGAATGCATCCACCCAGGGGCATGCGTACCAGTACACTGTGCACGCCAGTACTCCCCCCCCCCAGGTTCTCCTCTGCCTTCCTGGAGGTACAGTACATACCCTTAGTGACCCCACATAAGACAGGCTACAGGTTTGAAGAAGTGGCTAGTAGAAAATTTTTCATGGATCAGATCTATAAAAAAACCTTTGGCTAAATTATGCCAGTCAAATAAACATGGATTTGGGGATCTGTCAGGGAAGCTCAATATAGGTTGATACATCAGAACCAAGGTTTTAGAATTCCTCTGGTCCCTCCAATTCCACATTTATATTTAGTGAGGTCAGGGACCCGTAGAGAAGCTCTTGCCACTAGGACTAAACAGAGTCTCCTAGAACACTGTTCGCCAAGATTACCTTTTGGCATCCTGTAATCTGTAAGTCTGTCTAACTCAAAGTGATTTGCTCTCACACGAACTGAGTGTAACTATGGCAACCACAGCTTGTTGCTACATGGAAATCTTCACAAAATGACACAGTGAGAGCTTAGCATTAAGATGCAACCCCAGAGCAGTATTTTAGCCAGGACCAGATGGTTGTGTCTTTCCACCCAGATTCTGATTCTTATTAAGCAACACTCTGCAACAAGCAGGAGTCTAAGGACAATAAAAATAGAGAATCACTGACCTAGGAAACATAAATCCTCTCAAAGGAGCAGCAGCAGATATTTTGCTCACTGATGTTTGCTCTAGTATCTGCTCTTTTAGAGGCTCCTCTGTTTACAGACAAGCTATGAGCATGAAAGAGAAAGAGAGTCCCCGTGAAAAATTAGGTAAGCCCTTAAGAACTGACCGGCAAGACTTCTGGGTGTTTCTCAGCTTCCTCATCTTGTTCTTCATTTACGTTTGATGCAGCAAATACTTCAAACTGGCTGAAATCTGCAAAATTTGGTTGTTCTGGTATCTGCTGAGGTGAGGTACTAGTGTGAGTTATCAGGCCATCAGCATCCACTGGGCGATGCACTGCGGGACCAGCAGCCTAGACAACGGTTCAGAACAGAGGAGCAAACACTTCACTGGCTTATCAGTCACAAAGTGGCCTCTTTCCTTTGAAAATATTACTATAAAGATGCTGTTTTATTATCTGTAAATTCATGGAGGTGAGCAACAGTAACATTTAGTTCTAAAAAACCCTGGTTAAGATAACAAAACCCCAATAAAAAAGATACTTTTACAAAATTCCTTTTGCAAAGAAAGTGCATAAGGAGAGGGGAAAGTCTGGCCCTACTCTCTGATTCTCACTTGCATCTATTATTTTCTTAATTGGGCTACTGAGCAATTGTTTGTTCTTTAAACAAGTTTTGTTTGTTTTTTTTAAATGTTTCATTATGTTTTTAAAAAGGTTATTTTTTTATTTTTTAAAAAATATATCTTTATTGATTTCTGAGAGAGGAAAGGAGAGGGAGAGAGACAGAAACATCAATGATGAGAGAGTCATTGATCAAGCCCACAACCCGGGCATGTGCCCTGACCGGGAATCGAACCCCGATCGCCTGGATCCTAGGTCGATGCTCAACCGCTGAGCCACGCCTGGCCGGGCAAAAAGGTTATTTTTTTTAAAGTGTAGAAACCAGTGTGCTAACTATTCTCCCAACACGTCAGTGTATTTCCCTTCAGTCTGTCCTCTAATTCTTCTACAATTTTCAATCAAAAATGTATTTTTTGAGTATCTACTTTTGGCCAAGTACTATGGTTCTAATAGTGAACAAAACAAATAAGGTCCATGCCCAATAAAGCTGATAGTCTATTGCAGGATGAGACATAGGTTAACAAGGAATTAAAATACAGTGGGGGAAGTTTTATTACAAAGGAAGTGCAGAATGCTATAGGAATAAATCAGAAGTCTCTTCCTTGCTTGCCCTTTAAAAGTTTCCATCTCCTTTAAGAAAATTCTACCCTCCTTTTAATAATAGAGGAGATGCTCTGCCCTTCCCGACCTCTTGTGTTCCCTTTCCCATCACTCCAGTTGTACTGAACTGACTTGTTTTTCCTTGAAGAGCACACCAGACTTACCTCACACCTGCATGGCTTTGTGAATGTTGCTCTGTCTGGTTGGAATGCTCTCCCAAAGAAATACCACTTTACTTTTCCAGTCTCTGCATAAGTCTCCCTTCCTTCACTTTACTTACATCTCTTCAATGTGATCCCTGACTTTACTAACTAGTGAAGATGTAGCAAAGCATTTCATAAACACACCTATTGTTGCACTTATAACTGTTGTTTATAGTTGTCTTCCCCTCTAGGCTGGTTCTTGAGTTAAGAGACCAGCTCACTGGGTTTCATAGCTTAACCCCAGTAAGAATATTTTTGCTGGTACTTTAGATAAAATAAATACTGGATTATTTAAATTTCAGTATCTTTTACAATTAAGAAACCATCTTTTAAACCGCAAACACCCAACTTAATTTTAAGACTCTAACTCAAAAAAATCAACCAAATTCATTCATGTAAAAGGTAGTCAGTCAGTCACATAAAACTAACAGTTATAATACAGAATCTACCCTGGAACACAATAGTTTTGTGCAGATCAAAACCATTTCAACCTGGCAGGGATGCAGAGGTCATCTGACCCTTCCTTTACTGAAGTAGTAGCACATCCAGACGCATGCAGGGAGGTCGCTCTGAGTCACTGCTAGGTCCGGAACAGAGATGGGCATCTCCTATCTCCCAACCCACTGTTCTTTCCACAAAACCCTCCTTTGTCAAGACACTTCCATTTGGTTCACTATGGAGCTTCTTTCAAAAAATAACTCAAATTATTATTGGAATTACTTTTCAAAATAAGACTTATCTTCCCTGAATTAAATGCTCAGTAAGAATGACAATTAGGTAATTGTGAATCTTCAAAATAATTCTAGGATAGAATCAAATACCTGACAGACAAGTTGATCATGAGGAGTGTAATAACTGATGCTTAGTAATGAATATGTTGGAGAATACCTGTGAGGGCTGTGGTCTTGGAGGCACTGCAGGAGGATGGGCAACAACTCCAGCTTGTTGTTGTCCTGCGTGAATATACAAGTCTTCTTTTTAGTAAATATATAATTACTTTGCTAGTAGAACAGGCTGAATGAATATGATCAAATGATAAAGATTTCTAAGATTGTTTGGTAAGTATTAGAAGGTACGGATATGACCTAATGGCCGAATCTCGTGGCCTTTTCTCAGAATTCGTTTCTCTTGTTCAATTGCACTCTTGATATGGTCTTGCTTGTTCCCATAATACTATACATTCTTGGTTTTCGTCCCACAGTCCAACTGATCTTTAGCTATCAAATATGGGAACTTCCAATTTTCTCTTTTAATTAATACTTCACTCTATCGTTTCTATGTAAGTGATTCTCAAATAATACATCAATCTTTCTTAGCCCACAAATCCAGTGGCCTGTTGATTATTTCTCTTTTTTCTCACCATTCCAAACTCATAATGTTGAATCAGGACATCATCTCTCAGTGTCCTAACTTTTTATTTTGATCAACATAATGGTAATGATTATAACAATTAAAACCTTGGAGTAAAGCTGTGACTCCTCTCTCTCTTCATCAGCTAACATAAGACCTATTGGCTTTCCCTCCTTAATATCAGCATATTGTTCTTTTATAGTCTTTTGTGGCATCTCCCAGGTCCCCATCTTTATCATTTGAATTCAAACACATTTTAGATAGTCATTAAGAAAAAAATTCCCTCTCACCTGGTATTTTTTAAATTCAAATTTTCCTTCAGATAATTATTTTAAAAAAAAGAAATATTGAGAAAAGAAAATGTTGTGTGTCCTTAATGAACTTTAAAATCAAGTGAAAATATATATCATGGTTCTCTAACTCCTACCTGTGGTGACTGCAAAGGTCCGATTCATATCCAAAGATGATGATCTAGAATGAGAAGGCTGTGGCCTTGGAGGGGGAGGTGGTGGTGCAGTGGTATCAGGGGACGTTCCTGAATGAGACCTGCAAAATTCACTGCAGTATAGTTGGTCATGGTACTGGTACTGGAGCTTTTTTCTTTTTAAGCATTCAAACTTGGCTAAGCAGCAAAGGATATTTTCTCAAGTAGGTATACAAGAAGTACAATGAATAAAGACAGTACTATTTATGATGTGCATTAAACAAGGGGTTATTTAATGTGGCAAATAATCATTTTTACGAAGTATAATTTTACATTTAACAATATTTCAAAAAATTTGAAAAGTTATTTATTAACAAGAATTCAAAGTAGAGTGCAAAAGTAGTGTAATGTTTTCCCATTCAATTATAGGCAGTATTAGTCTAAAATATTTATTTTCAAAAAAGAAATTCTAGCCCTGGCCGGTGTGGCTCAGTTGGTTGGGTGCCATCCTGTGCACCAAAAGGTCAAAGGTTCAATTCCCGCTCAGGGAACATGCCTGGGTTGCAGGCTCAACCTCCAGTTAGGAGCATGCAGGAGGCAGCCAATCGATGTTGCTCTCCCCCTTTCCCTTCCTCTCTCTCTAAAAATCAATAAAAAAATCTTTTAAAAAACAAGAAACTACTTTCAGATATGGACAGTTTTCAACTTAAATTTGGAGTTTGGCAAGCTGAGGTAGAATCCGGCTCAACTATCTGCAGTTCCCATTCCTGCATTACCACCACAGGCCATTCCATTTTAGAGGTGACCATACTCATGCTCAACTCACCCTAAAGATGCACTTCTTTGCCACCAAAATTTTCTATATTCTCAGAAGAGTCTCACGGACTCTGGCAATCTGATCCTCACTTATAGGGATACAAAAGAGAATAAAATCCAAGATGACTGAGAACTTTAAGAAACACAGGAAGAACTGTATGAAGCAGCAGCCTTGGACTCTAAGCTCTCTGGTGATTCCATATACTAGCATCTCTCTATACCCTCCAGGCATGTGGCAAAAGGAGTCTTACTACGTATAGGAAGCAAGAGGAGAAAGACACTTCTGTCCTGCAATGTTCTGTGGATGGCAGAGCCCTTGAAGACAAACCCTTGTCACCCTCACCGATCCCACACATTTTAGTTTGTGCCTGAAGTTATATGTAACGCAGATCTTTAGGGGGGGTAGGTAGCCCAACCCTGGGCTGGGATTCTGGATAGCATTGTAAAACACAGAATTCTTTTGGTACTTACCATAAGGCTATAAAAGGAAATCTGCACATGTATCACTTAAACACTCTCACAGTTTACCTAAAAAAGGGGCTGTGTGAAATGGCTACTGCCAAGAAGTTATTGGCTCTTCTTAAACCTTCCACAGAATGCCATGAGACAATAAGGGTTCCATTAGTTTTCTATTCAAGTTAGAAAGAATCAAAATTACTTCCCCTTTACATAAATCAATAGATAACAGCCTTCAGAGAAGTGAAGAACTAAAGAAGAGAAACAATTATGTAATTTATACCTGGTCCTAAATAATTTTAAATATTAAAATGTAACAAGATATTTTAATATGCTTTTTATTGACTGAAATACTGACCTTTGACGAGTTCCATTATTCCCGATCTGCTCTGGGTCTGAAGTAAAGGAGTCTGAGCTACTGTAACCGTCTGCTGATAAATGGAATATATTCTACTTAATAATAATTTCTTCACTTTAACTCTATGTGCCCCAAATATAACTGAATTATTGTTTCAAATAAGAGATACTCAAAGACTGGCTAACAGGTTAACAGTTCATTAATACATAACAGTATTACTATAAAAACTTAAATGTAAATCAAATAAATAATGGCCTATTTATACAACAAAATACTATGCACATAGTGTAAGTTACAATCTAGAAAAGTTAACATTTAATAACAGAAATATTCAAAATAAGTCACATAAAAGGGGATCACAAAAACAGTACATACAATTTCATTTTATATAAAATACAGCATATGCACAGAATGATGATTAAGGCTGACGATGAATGTTAATCATGGTAATTTGTGAAACAGATTATAAAAATTTTTATATTTCTACAATAAGTGAGAGTTACTTTTGCAATAAAAATCATTAAAAAAATATTTTAAATAAAGAAAACACTTAAAAATTGTTAATGTGAAAAATTTAAAATTCCACAAGGGAATAAAATATGCTTAGACAGTAATAACATTTATGAAATTAGCTAGCAGTTTCTAATTTTTCACCTGAGGAAATATCATTTTCAATTTCCTCAGAGCCTTATGAAGGAGCAGAGAATCCAGAAGTAGATTGACAGTTGTGACATAATAAAGAACTTTTAAAATAGAAACTCTAGGGACAATATAAGGGAATGCTGTTATACACTTTCAAAGGTTATTCATTAAAGACACTGGTTATTTGGTTTAGTTTCATTTCAAAATGTATCCCTTTCCTTCTTGTCAAATCACCAAACTATTTAACTGGTACAAGAATGATGCTAAAGTTAATCTATTTCCATTTGGATGTTCTAACAGGCATTTCAGACTTAAGCTGTCCAAACTGAACTCCTAGTCTCCCTTACAAACCTATTCCTATCACAGTCACCCTCAATTTTCAGTTGCTCAGGCCAAAAATCCCATGAACCACGCGATTCCTCTCTCACACATCCTGTATCACACAGGTAAGCAACTCCTGCGGTCTTTTCCTACAAAATATAGCTAGAATCTGACCATTTCCCAGCAATTCTACTGCTACCTCCAGAGATCAAGCCAGCATCTTCGCTTGCCTGAACCATTATAACTGTCTCCTAAACGATCTTCCCTGTTTGGCTCTTGCCTTCAGGCACATTACCAGCATAGCAGCCAGAATGGTACTGCTAAAATAGGAAGGTCAGGCCATGTCACTTCTCCATTCAAAACCGCTAATGGTTTTTCCTCTCACTCAGTAAGAGTCAGTCTTAACCTGTTCCCAGGTTACTATTCTACCCTTTGCTACCTCTGCCTATTAAATTTGCTAACTAGTTCTATTCCATGAGTTTGCTTGCTGTTCCAAGCAGAAGTAAGGCAGGTTTCCTATACCAGGGCTTCACATTTGCTGTTCCTGTGCCTTAAAATGTCTTTCCTTCAGATATTCACATTGCCGAATCCCTCTACTCCTTTTCAGTTTTCACTCAAATGCTATCTTTTGGTAAGGCCTTCTTTAATCACCTAACTGAAAATGTTACTCCCTTTCCCTTTTCCCAACTTCATTTTTATTCAGAGTGTTAACCACCTCCTAGGATATGAGTTACTTCCCCACCTAACCCCTTCTTATCTCCCCTGTAAAATATAAAGCTCAATAAAGGCAAATATTTTTGTTTTACTGCTGAATCCTCAGTGTCTAGAACAGAGTCTAGCACATAATATTCAATTAACATTGGCTGAATGACTGAATATATATACACAGCTTCTTTGGAAAAGAGCCAATGGACTAAATCTGGCTGGCTGAGAGGAGCAGCAAGAAGGAGGCCAGCCTTGGGTGGCAACGGGGAACCATTCACTCCCACGGGGGCAGGCTGTTTAAGAGGTTGACTGTTCTCTACTCTACACAATGAAGATGGTATTAAATGACTGTACATTTGCATTACTCAGGCTCTAAATCCAGACTTAATAAACTTCTAATGGAAGAAGTAGTACTCTCTTCCACTTACCTACAGTATTTCCAGAAGCAAATTTCACTGATGAATTTATCTTATTTTCTTCTGAAAGGTCGGATGTTTTCACAAGTAATGGGCTAGTGGGATTAGTATGATCTAGTAGAAAATTAATAAGTAAAAATACAAGATGTAGGTATCGGAATTAATAAATTCTTAAACTTCAGAGTATAAGACTTCATTTAGATATGGATAAATCCATGGGAAATAATACAAAATGATATTCTTAATAAAAACAAATATAAACCTCTTTATATAGAATTTTGTTTTCTGCCATAATAGAAGATATTTTATACTAAAAAAGCCAATTTATGTGTTCATACTTTGTAAAATTTATCCCTTTAGGTAAGCAATTACTTAAACAAAACCACACAAATGGCTGTAAATAAGTAATTTATGATGTTGACTCATACAGGAAATAAATCTACCTTTAAGAACCCCTAATTATAAAACGTGCTCTAAGACGAGGAGAACACTGCCCTGGCTGGTGGCTCAGATGGCTGGAGCATCGTCCCATACACCAAAAAGCTGTGGGTTCAATTTCCGGTCTGGGACATACCCAGGGTGTGGGTCCCATCCCGGGGCAGAGCACATGCAGGAGGCAACTGATCCATGTTTCTCCTCACACTGATGTCTCTCTCTCACTCTCTCCCCCTCCCCCCTCTTTAAAAAAAAAAAACGGTAAAGGTATTCTTGGGTGAGGGTGAAATAAAATTTAAATGAGGAGAAAATTCAAGAGTTTAAGCAAAAGAATCTCAAAGCCAAAATTTATTTTAACACATGCCTCTTCAGTCACAATTTTAACATACTTTAAATGTACGTTCACAAATGTGATCGTAAAAACATATGAAGTATCAGAAAAGTCACCTTTTCCAATGTCATTTAAAAGTTTTATAATATAAATTCAATTTCTTTTTAAAAACTGTACCAAAAGTTAAAATACACACACAAGCACACACATATATATGTATAATTGTAGAATGTACAGTGTTAAAAATAAGCAATTATGAAAGAAATCTGAACCCTGACAGAGTAACTGCTTATGGTTTAGCTGACGGTAACCTAAAACACGCCCGCTGACCTCACACAGCCCAGTCACAGCGTCCTTACCGCTGCCAGTTCTTTTAAGTTCCATTTCCTGCATGTGGATTTTGCTTGGAGTCATACGAATGGGAACTGGATGAACAATAGCAGTATCCTAGGGACAAAGGAGAGGAAATACAGAATTTGTATTAAAAACGCCAAGCTGATACCATGAAATAATCAAAATTAACATTTTTAAAACTGGTGGATAGACTCTCATTCACACTAAGGCAAGCATGAAAATTCATTTTTAAATTAAAAGTTATAGAATTGTATGTAAAAAATCAAGTTCACTGTACATGTCCAATACTCTGATTTTGATAAAAAATACATTTTAACTTTTAAGTGATTAAAGATTTGAATAAAAACAATGACCTTATAAAATACAGTTTAAGACAGTATTCAAGGCAAAGTGTGAAATGATCTGATGAAATCATACAAATCTGAATCTCTCAGGTTAGTGCAATGAACTATTTCTTGAGAATCCAAAATTAAGTAAACTCATTTTCAGGAAACTGCTCAAGAAAATTTGAAACTTTTCTTTTTCATATTTAAAACAAAGTTAATGAGATGCCTGCTATATTGTAACAGTAGACACAACAAGTACTTCTATAGATTAGTTCTACAGAACTTTACAATTTAGCCTAACATTTCCACCAAGGAATCCATTTTTTGAGAGGGATAAATAAGACTCCTACCCTAAGATTCTAATACTTTTCTTAAACCTTTTCAAGCCTATAACACATCTGATGTTCCTAAACTTCATGAATGGCAAGTCTAGTTAGAAGAGTAAATAAACTGGTAGAAGAGACCTTTGAAAAGAATGAAAGAGTGAGGTGAGGAAGAGAAGATAACACAGATGGTAGCCTCTCCAAAAGGAAAGAAAAAGAGAAAGGCACACCTGGGTACACAGGTAAGCCTGACCCTGGGAGCTGTCACCCCCAGGGGAGGAACCAGAATAGGACCAAACATCTGGCTTAACAGCAACAGACCAGCTGAAAAACACTGCAAAGGGGGCTTAGCTCCTTCTACAATGAGTCAGTTCGCATTTTGTGTGCTGCTGCTGCTGAAGACGGAATATGAGAGTCTTACATTTCTAGTATCTAGCAGTGAGTTAAGTTTATAACTAAGTGTAAAGGATAATGACTTTTCAGTTTAAGTCTAACATTGCTTTGGTGACAGTACCAAATAACAGCAAGCCTCTGCTAGGGAAAGTTAAGTTCCAGTATACCATTTTTTGTTTGACGGCTCTCCCTGGCTTAATCTCATAATCTCTAAATTCGAACAATTTATAACAAACTACTGCAATTATACTGATAAATCCATTCATAGCAATTTCCTGCTTCTACACTAGTGAGATTGTGGACAGGGTTCAGGTACTATCCAATCAGCCTGAACTAAACATTTTCCTCCAACTCTAAAATTATAGTTATATAGGTGAACATTACAGATGAATAAAAGTTTAGATTTCTCACATAATAATGAGTCGCTCACAGGAAAATATTTGTAACAATACACTTAAGATGTTATGGTTATAAAATCATGGCTTTAGAAATGACTAATATTTTTTAACTTACAATTTTAATCGCAAAAATAACTATGAAAAAAAATCAGAATTTAATATTATAAGGCAAGATTAGAGGAGAAAGAAATGATAGTTTGTGACACAGTAAGTTCTTATTCCAAACCTCCCCAAAACTAGGAAAAAACAAGCAAGGAAAAAACATTAAATGCTTTAACTCATAGTATTTATCTAACATGTATTCTATATGTTTATAAAATCAAATTTATAAAGCTTGTAACAGGTGGAAATATTAGCCTTTTCATCTATTTCCAGTACAACAGACAAAGTACAATAATGACTCCAAGAAAAGAAAATCATGAGTGTTCTATTCATTCTTCAAATAATTTGCAGAAGTTTCTGTACAGCAAAGCAATTTCGTATCGCATACTTCAGCCATATACCGACTGGCTACTATGAGCCTGAAACAGCTTTAGTCAAGCAGGACAAGGTAATTCTCTGAAGACTAGAGACTAGTATATCAGAAGCTTCATTTATGACAGTGATGTCACTCACAAATGACAGTCACAGTGGATAGAGAGCTCTGACTTGAAGCATTTCAACATCCAAATGAAGAACCATGAATGCCTACAAGTCTGAGTCCTGAGTGACAAGATGCCAAAGTAATACTTTCTTTGCTCCAAACTAGCATCCCCAAATGTAAAAACAGAGAAAAAGTATGAAACTGACTGGCAGGTTCCCTCCGCTTTCTTCTCCTATTCAAACCACCCAAAGCCTGTAGGAAACCCATTCCTAATCACTCATGGCACATTTGTATCATCTATTTGGGTAGCTGATTTTATACAATTTAGCACTTTATTGAATGTTATATTAATGGTCACATATCTGTATTTCCTACTTGCTTTAAGTCCTGTTATCTGCTCTGCCTCCTTTCTGTCCCCGTGTCCCTCAGTTCGGGTGCTCATCATCTCTCTCGATGGCATCCATCCTTCTCATTACTTCTCTTCCTCGCCTCCACTTTATCATGGTGCTTCTCGTTAGTCAACAGTGCCCATGGGACTAAGACTCTTGCTGTAACATACAAAGATCTTTCCGTCTGGCTCCAACCACATGCCTCGGCCCCCGTCGATCCCCATATACACGTCTAACCTGTTCTACCACCGCCCCGAATCGATCCTGTTCACGATATTCTCTCTGCTTGGAATGCCTTTGTCCAATTCTGGCAATTCAAAGTTTCATTCAAAACTCAGCATTCAGCCCGGCCAGCATGGCTCAGTGGTTGAGCACTGACCTAGGATCCAGGAGATCACGGTTCAATTCCCAGTCAGGGCACATGCCCGGGTTGTGGGTTCAATCCCCAGTCAGGGGGCGTGCAGGAGGCAGCTGATCAATGACCCTCTCATCGTTGATGTTTCTCTCTCTCTCTCTCTCCCTCTCCCTTCCTCTCTCTGAAATCAATAAAGATATATTTAAAAACAAAAACAAAAAAACTCAGCCTACAGACAAGCTCCTTTGTGGAAACCTTTCGGGGTGAGTTGGCGCATGGTTCTCTGCCCATAGTTCTGCTCGTTGCCACAGATGTTAACTTACAACCAGCTGCACTCCAGTCACCACGCCTACAGTAACTGAACTGTGGCCTATTCAGAACTGGGACTTTGCTTTCGACACCTTCGTATTCCTAGAAAATACCACAGGCACCTAGCAAGGGGCCCCCCACACCAGGTCAGTTGGCTGGATGTGATCAGCGACCAAGCTCTCTTCCCTGCACACCCCGAGTTACTCCCAGGCTCTATGCACACAAGATTGGGGAGACATCACAGAAAAGACTGGTGCATGACACTTCTCATCAGTCTAAATTTTCCTTGAAGAAGCAGATTCTGCCAGAGTCTATTAACTGACAAGCAGTTCAACAAAAATAATCAAGATTCTGGAAATGAGACACCAGAAACTCAATTTCATCACAATTCTGGGAGTCTACTAATTAACCACCTCAGTTTACATGTGGGGTTGCTGTATCGTGTGAAAGCTGCCTCTAAGTGTACAGAGCAGCGTGGAGCTCTTCCAACACTTTTACTTTATTGAGCAAATGGCTAATTATCAAATTTAACTTTTAAAAAATATTCCATTAAATATTTCCAACACTATAAAGTATGTCAGATTCACATTAGAACTGTAATGGTTTTTTTCCTCCTAGGTGATTCTGTTCTAATCTGAATGGACTTTACTTAATTACATTACAATCATTATTTACATAAACCTTGCAAAGGACCATTTGGGATTGTAGTTACTAGCTATGTATGTATAGGAAATGTCAGTATTAAATGAAGGTTAAGAAATTCAGACCTTCGGTGAGACTAGGACATTCTCCTAATTGAAAGTTTAAAGAGAAATTACCAGTTGGGGAGCAAAGTTTAGATTTAAGTTTGCCACCACAGAAGAAAAAAGATGTTTCTAGGTACCAGACTAAATATTTAAGACTGGCAACCCAATTCAGAGGTCTAAATTGGATTTAAAATGTCAATTAACCATTTTTAATTTTTCTAGGGCCTCCAGCCACACCAGAGACAACAAAAGAAATTATTGTGTCATACTGTTTTAAACACGAGAGCTAGAATTCATAAATCTGCATATTATTTCCAATAAGTTACAAGAACATCACTGTTATTAAGCCAAATATTTCCCTGTATTTCCTGCCAGTCGTGAGTTACTTTATTTTGCCCCTGAATTCTACATTTTTATATTTAATGTTCTTTCCTGGCCTGACAAAGAATCATAGCACTATGAATAATTATTTTCATTATTTCTTAAGGGTTAGAGAACAGAGTTTCTTTATTGCTACACAAAACCTTCCTTTGCAAGTAAAGTACTTTGATAAAGTACTTTAAATAAAACTAACTTGAATGAGCAAGTAGGACATAAGAATAATATAGAGAAATGGAACAGAGAGCTAAGGTAAAATTCTTTTAACTTATAACACCTGCCACTTCCCAAGTGACCTTAATTATAGCTGCTAATAAGCAACAAAAAAATTGTGTTTCCTTTTTATTTCTCCTTCACTTTTCAAAAACTAAAATCAAAGATTAATGAATGTCCTCAAAGTAGCAAGAGAAGCAAAAGGCAGATGATCTACATATTAAATGACTCTTAAATTATTAATAAATTATAAAACACACTTAAAACACTTTAACACATCATCTGTTTGAATTCAATTTAACGGCATCCTCTATACTTCGAATATAAATTTTTTAAAATTATAAAACACACCAAAGATCCATTAAATTGTTGATGTACTATTATCTTTAAATGCTACTTCTCCCAAGTCCACATTAAATAACAAGACCATCTTTATATTTAATTAATGAATGCTGGCTGTCATTGATCAGAAACATCTAAAAACGATGCCTTGTGTCACTTTCTCCATATTTTTCCACTGAGCTCATTTTTAAATCTGTCCTTCCCTTCCTAGTTACTTCCTCTTTTCTTTTTGAAAAGTGATAATTAGCATGTTCTTCTCTTTAAAAGAAAAAGAAATAAAAGAAAAAGCAGGAGTGAACCATAAGAAGAATGATTAGTAGCTAAGGTTTGGAAGTTTTTCAAATAACTCCAGGGAGGTGGGGGCACATATGAAATTAAATCTATGGGAACAGAATTTATTTTTGAAATCAGGATGTGAACTTTGTAGCATTTTTCAGAGCAACACAGTGAACCACAGGAAGACAAGACAACGTCTTGCACAATGGGAATCTTTGACTAACAACTCTGTATTGTTTTGCTGAACTTGATTCTCTTGTAACAGAACTCAACATACTATTTAAATCAAAGCCATACTATCTGGAGTATTAAAATAAAAGACATTGCGTATTTACATACATAGTACATATTACATGATGTGTAAGCATACAAGTAAAATAGTATTTACTAAGCGTCACTACACTAAAATAAACAGTATGTTTAATGAAACATACATTCAATTACCAAATGAAAACAAGTCAACTAAATCAACCGTCACAAAATGCTTTAGACACATGTACCAGATTTTAAAAACATACAGTTTTCTCTCACCAAAATAACTAGAAAATACAAACAATGGTAAAAAAAAAAAAAAAAAGTTCTTTCCACCATTAGGCACACAAAAATTGAAAAGCCTGCCACCATTTGCCTCCAAGCACTCCACTGAATCATGCATATCAACTAAAAACACAATGAATGGAAATTTGGGTTAATAAAATTAATTTCAAACAAGCAAGCTAAGTGATTGACTTACAGGATCAGCTGGTGCAATGTTAGAATCAAATTGGGTCAGAGTTTGTGAGCTTGAAGAGCGTTCACTAAATGTCTCCCACTGCTGAACAGACAGAGGAGAGACAAGTCAGCATGATGAGAAAGATGGAGCAAAAAGATCACTGGAGAAGACTTAGCAAAGTAATTCAGAGGTTGCACTGCAAGTTGTGTTTCACAGGCCTGACAAAACTCCCTAATTTCTGTTTTCCATAAACATTTTATACTCATCGATGATGGGTCATCTTGTGAGTTGAGCAGCTTCACAACCAAATACATAGTAACAACTTACTGCAATCTCTATGAAGAGATCCACAGCCTTACAGAATCCAACCTCAAAACTCATATAGGAACAGAGTCTAAGTGGCATAAATGGCAACAGTGTAAAAATGTAAAGGGGTCTGTCTTCATTAGAGAAAGAATAACTTCAAATCCTCCTTTTAAAATTTAAATGTCAGTGTATTGATTTGGAGATGTTAGTGAATCTTGAGTACCAAACTTTTGGTCAAAACAAAGCAAGTCAGTGTGACTTGCCAGTGCGACCCCTGAAAGATGATTCTATCATGTGCGTGCACATATTTTGTATGTATGTATACGTAATAATATATAATTGAGATAAAATGCAAAGAATTCTGGAATTATGTGTTTGAGCTTGCTTCAATCTACAGCAAGTCAACCCCTGCAATCAGCACTAGGGACAGGACCATGCCAGACCAAAAGACAGAACTGCCAATCAGGCACCGCACCCCCCATGCTAGAAAAACCCGAGTGCGGCCACAGTGAGAGCAAATCCAGCACCTGGGTACGTGTTATACAGAGAATATACTTTGATATGAAGTACTGCTCTTCTAAAAGAGGCACACAAATACCATACCTCTTAAAATAGGGGGAGTTATAGGCCAATATTAATTTTAGTAAATTTCATTTGTTTTGAAGAGCTTGGTAATAAAATAGTATAGAATTTTAATATCAAAATTACATTAAACTTTGATTAAGAATTATCAGTTGTACTCTGAAGAGGGGAAAACATCTACACATATACAATATATACAAACGAATGTTTACACACAGACACACCTACCCAATTAACCAAAGTCCTTTTCATAATTCAGTATGGAAAAGGGTACACTTTTATGCTTCAAAGTTCGACTGATTATTTGAAATAGTGATACTCAATTTGAGAAGGCTTGTGGAAATGAAATATCAGCAAATTAATACATTTATGAAGTTATCTTAAAAAATGCTTATACAATCATTCAACAATTTTGCCCACAAATAGTTTTAAAATCATGAAAATTAAGATATACTGATGCATTCAAAGTGTTTCTCGAATAGAGTCCAAGTAGTTCACTCGCATCATGGGACACTTCAGGGGAGTGACTGACCGTTTGTGCTATTATAGTTTCTTCAATAATTACTATTTCATGTGTACAGAAGGAATTTTTAAAATCCTAATGATCGAACTATGGAGAAAAGTTTAGATGTGGATTTTTGCCAAAAAGAAGGCATTTATTTACCTAGTTGAGTACATGAAGTTTTACTTGGTTTCACAAGGCTGTATGTAAGCTGCCTGGAGAGCAGAGAGACACCTTCATCTTCGTAACTTTCGTATAATGGTGAGGAGCACAGGCTCTGGAGCCAGACCACTGGAATCCTAGTCATGCTGCACAACCTGAGGCAAGTTATTTAACCTCTCTGTGCTTTAGTTTCAACATCTTTATTAACTTGAGATTAATAATACCTATGTCATAGGATCGTTATGAGGAAGTAGAGTTCATTTATGTAAAGAGCTTTTGAACAGAACTGGCACATCAAAAGTGCTCAACAAATGTTAAGGATTATTATTAGTGCTGCTGTTGTTAGTAGTAGTGTTATCACCTACAGTGCCTCACCCATGTTCAGATACTGAATAAATATTTGTTGAAAGAATCATTAGTGCTTGTGGTAGAAAATTATTAAAATGTCTCAAAAATCAGTGTTAGTTTTATCAACATTTTGATTTCCCACACAGAGTTAAAAGAAAAATAACATGCCATTCATAACTCTATTACTGAATACTACAAAATGAAACTTGCTAGGACTATCTAAAAAGAAGAAGTGCCATTGCTTAAGTCAGAATGTGGAAGGGACTTCCATTCCTAGTCTTTAATGATCACACACAATTTTATTTAGAATGAATATGGGCTTTAGAATTGAGATGCTTTAGAAAGAGTTGCTTTTATTTATGAGATATCAATGGAAACCACTATTTTTAATCTGATATTCTTTTTTTAAATTTTTATTTATTATTTAAAAGAAATTTTTTTTTAAATATATATTTTTAAATATTACAGATGTCCCTTTTTCTCCCCAATGACCCATCCCAACCCCCTCCCTAGTCCCTTAATCTGATATTCTTTTAAAAAATAGTAGTTTCAAGAACAATGACCCTACTCTCTATAAAGCCTCTTTACTAGTAAATTATTTTAAGGCTTAATTCCTCCCTCTAGAAAAATCCTATGTACATGGTTCTAAGTCTGACAGTGCGACAAGTGGTATGTTATGTCTCAGGTACCTGTGATTACGTCATAAAGCAGCAGCAAGTACTTTAAACCTGCCAGTTACTTGTTTTTCAACTGTTCAAAATTAACGAGTGTCTCTTTAATCCAGTACTTTTCTGGCTTTAAAAGATATGGAAAGCACAGAAGTTTAGAATTTTTCCCTTAAAGTAAACAAACTTTTGAATTTGTAGCACTACCTAAAAGTGATAAAAAAAATGTAAGGAAAAAAATGTAACTTGTTCACAAAGAAAACTGCTCTAACAGGCTAGAACAGCTATTTTTTAACTTAAGAGCACTAAGGTTTAGCTTTGGGCCTTGGGCCCACTTCCCTTATTCTAATCAGAGTAGCCCTACTTTTATTGTTTTATACAACAGAGTTCCCAAGTAATGAGAAGGAGCGGGAATGCATTTGTCTCAAATTCTGTTCTGCAGGCTATCCTTGGGGTCTTATATATAACATATCTTTTAACCATTGCATTTAACAGGGTTAAATTTCATTTTGTGTTAAATAAAATTAAATTATTATAAATAGCCTGGGTTGAAGAAAAAACTTTATCCAGGTGGAAAGCTAGATTAGTGACTTCTCATATCACTTCGAATGCTAACATTCCAAATGTATTATTACCACATACCTTGCTTAGAGGAATGAGAAGGGAGTGTGACATGGTGGGTGTGGTAGTTGAGTGCATGTCAAAGGACTTGTGTTCAAATCTTAGCTCTTGCCCCTCAATGGCTCTGAGCTATCCTGGCCAAGACATTCACGCTTCTGACTGTAAACTGCCTGTGCCTGCCCTACCTAACTCACAGGGTTTTAGCAGGAATGAGTAGTGGAAACCAAATGACAGTATATGTGAAAAAGTACTTTGAAAAGCTCAGTCACATAATTAAAACACTTATCATAGTCCTATTTTATATGTTCTCTTAACTACGCATACATGCTGAAAGAGCTAGATGCTGAAATTACTCTGTTTGGAACGTCTTACCTTAACAAAGCTAATGTTAATAAAAGAAAAGGGAAGCTTTGCTAACCTCACTGCTCTGATTCATCTCTGGCCAAGTCTGGTTCAGTGACGGCATTGATGGTGACTTGCTTGGAGGTGCTTCTGCAGGAGAGCCTGAATAACCTACCTCGCCTGTCTGATCCCCAACGTCTGCAATTGAAAAGTAGAGAAATTCTCTATAAATAATATATTTTAGTTTAAGAATATTACTTATAAAAAAACAAACTAAAGACTTTGACAAGTAGTAATTTATAATCTGAATTTCCTTTCTTCATGTTCCTACAATAAGCATTTTTATATTGGACGTCAACTGTAACTGAAAAATAAACATTTTAACAATCAGACAATTAGGCAGTACTTATTCCTGCTACTTATTGTCTACCCGAGACCACAGCTTTCTATGAAAATAAATTCTAGTTAGGGGTAGATAGAAAAAAAGAGTGTTATGCATAATAATAATAATACAATAGCACATGTTTTGAACCATTTTCTGATAATAGGGATGAATCTGTACCAGTTCCCAAAGTGTATTTCATGGAATATTAATCAGTGAGGTGCTTTTAAAAATTAGGTTCAAAAATTTTTTCTGTTCAAATAAATTTGGGGATACTGTAACTCCCTGCTGGAGCATCTCCATGAACATTAGTATATGAAAAACTTATAATGTCCTAGAGCAAATAAACTATCTAAATCAGTTTTCCCCAAACAAAAATTTTTATCAAATAAAAGCCCTCAATTTTCTCTTGAAATATACTTTTGAAATGGATAAGTTATACTAAGTCATTCACATTTTCTATACAAGTCTCCTGTGTTACCAAAAAGCAACACATACAGGTATCCCAAAAAAATATACACACTTTAACAGCTGATAGCTCAGTTTTGAAAATGAAATGTATTTTAATCAACACTGCTTTTATAATTATTCAAAGTGTGTGTATAGATGGTATAGATGTTTTTGGGACACCTATATTTGCAGGGCAGAGAGCAAACGGAGAGGAAGAGTCCCAGGCATGAATAAAAAGCAGTCAATGAACACACACACACTAAACTTTTATCATTAGGCCACTGGCACTTATAGACTTCACTGAGAACGCTACAAATCCATGACACAATTTAAAAGCAGTCTGTGTTATGTGGTAGCATATTCTACTTTTAATTAGTTAAGCTTTAATTAAAAATATCTCTTAAATTCCAATTTAAAAACAGAAGGAATTTCCATGGTAACTTAATTCTCATTCCAATCTTCCCAAGTTTTACATGGCTTTGAATATAATCCCAGCCTGAAAGTCACAATAATTGCCAAATTAATGGGGAGTACCTAATCTATTTAGAACCTGTATCAGAACATTATTCCAGCATCTGTCACTATCTCACTGTTTGACCATGGGCAAGTTGAATAAAACAGCACCCAAATTTCTCCATCAGAAAGAAAGACATTTGCCCTTAAATGTTAGCACTGTACTTGAAATTCTTAAACAGTCATACAATAACAATGTATAGGTTTTAACCTTCCAATCTAGTCAAAAGTAAATCCTTCACATTTTGGTGCCTAACACAGAACCTTGCACATACCAGGAACGTACGTATTTACTGAATGAGTTGCTTTTTGTGTTCTTTAAATTCATTTTCTTTTATTGTTATTTTCCTAGAACCAAAACTAATCACCGATATTTTGAAAAAGCACTCAACTTCTCTTGGCCCTATTCTGTTACATGACTACCTCAAAATACTTCCCTTTAGTTCACCCTAACATTATTTCCTTGCAGTCATATCACACTGCAAGTTCTAATTTGCAGTCCAGCATCATATTTTGATAAATTTTTGTTTTGTAAGATCAGAAATCGTTCTCTTCTTTCTTAACCCTATCCCTTTCTCAATAAAGGTGTCAAAGTAGTACAAAAACAGTAAGAGGCAGACAGGCTTCAGAGGATGTTCTATGAAGACCTCTTAAGTCAAAGAAAGCTCCTAGTGAAAACTAATAAAAAAATTTATGATAAATAGCAGCAAATTCCTCATGGGAATAGCTTGTGGTTTTAGTGTGAACAAAAATTATGGACCTTTCTTCTATGATAACAAAGAGAAAGGAAGTTAAGAAAGGAGGATAATGGCTATAAATCTGAGTTTAATGAAACTGAAATTCTGTTAGGAGGATGGTGAAAGGAGAAATACCTTTAAGAGATCCAGCAAAGCAGGTGTTAAAGAAAAATAAGTAGAATTAAAATAGTATTACCTACAGGTGATTAATTTTCAAAAGAACCTACCTACAGTCAGATCACATTACTTGTTTCAAATGTCAGCTTAGGGCAGACTGGGGCCCTAGTCTGGCTTTCTAGGCCTCCATCTCACTTCATGGTTCTACTGGTAAATTCAGGGCCAGACTGCACCCCACTCCCAGATCTCAGGGCAGTTAGAATTTGGGATCGATTCTGGGAACCTCTGTGATTCCCTGGTACAAAGTTGCAATGGGTCCAGCCTCCAGAGGTATATTATTCACCCAAATACTTATACTTCATAAGTATTCCAGTGCAGTCATTTTCCTAGCGTGGCAGTTCTCAAACTGTGGACCACGTACTCCAAGGAATCCCCATGACTCTTTTAGAGCATCTGAAAAGTCAGAAAGATTTTTGCAATAATAATAATAATAGTACTTTTTCCAGTGTTGGCATTTGAACTGATGGTGCAAAAACAATGATGGGTAAAACTGCTGGCTTATCAACAAGAAACAAGGCAGTGGCACCAAAACATACAAGGTGGGGGCAAGATAGGTTTACAGTTTTGAGTACACAAAACACAGTTTATCCTTGTATTATTATTTACTAATTATTGTATCATTTTCCATTGAAACAACTGTAAACCTACTTTTGCCCCATTCTGCCTTGTCATTGCATTCTTCATCCCCATGCGTTCCAGTTAAATGAAATTAAGAGGCATGGCAATTTCACTGAAGAATGTTCACAATTAAGCAGTAAAAGTTATTTTTATTAAGTCTCAGCCCTGGATACACATCTTTTTAATACTCTGCAGCAAAATGGGAAATATATATATTGCAAATTTATATAATGGAATCCCCAGGTAATAGGGAGGTGCAATATGTATGTATATTGCACTTCTGCTCCTTAATCAATGCACAGTGATGATGATCTCCAGGGAAAGTTCTCGTGTAATTCAGCTGTCAGCTGAGTAGGCCACTTCTTTCATGGAACACGATTTTTCTTTAAAGAACAGTTGATAAACTGTAATTATTCAGACTTGGGTATGATGCATTTTCTCAAAAATGAATTAAGTGAGCCTGTCACTTCAGGAAAACAACTGTCTTTAGTACTGTTACTAATGACAAACTGAGCTTTCAAGAAAAAATCAGAATTTTGGAAAATGTGTATCCATATCCACAAGCTCAAGAGCTTCCCAGAACTTACAGACTTCTTTGGTAAGATAGGTAGTAGCATTAATAAATATGCTTTTAAAATATTTTATAATAAAATATCCCAACATTTGAAAGATCTGTAAAACTCAATGAACTAATTTTACAAATAATTATGTTATAAAATCATGCATGGACAAAAGATTCATCCAAGGCATATATAAAGTGCAAGACAGATCTATGGATTTTAATGTAACAGTACAAATAATTCATTAATATGGTTTCAGCTTTCACATTGAAATTAACCTTTAAGAAATTACCATTTGTTGACATTTGGTGTAGTACCAAAGAATATCCATAATTACCTAAAAATAGTCTTTCCACTCTCCCTTCCACTATCTCTGAAAAGCAATGGAGAAAATCTCCTTGGGTGAGGATTAAAAATAAATAAATTAAATAAATAAAATAAAAATAGTCTTTCACCACTCGAGACATGATTTTCTTCACGTAGGTGGGAATGGCAACCTTTTTCTACCAAGGGCCAGACAGTAAATGCGGTAGGCTCTGCAGGCTCCCCAGGCTCGGGGGCAACTATGCAGCTTTGCTACGGCTGTGCAAAAGCAGCCACGGTAATTAGTGAAGAAACGAGTTTGCCTTTATTAATAGACAGTCAAATTAGAATTTCATACAATTTCACAAATTTGAATTTCATGTATTATGAAATATTGTTTTTTATTCTCCCATGATTAAAAACAAAACACTTTTTGTTGTTGGCTATACACTGGATTTGGCTCTCAGGGCTTAGTCTGCAGGTCCCTGATACCTCAAATAAAATAATATCTAACAGCCTGAATGCAGAAGCAAATATGAAAATCCAGCTGTCTTCTACTAAAATAGGTTCTAAAGAGATTTACAAAAATGTAAAACGATGCCACCCTTTTCATAATTTTTTATTTTGGGGAATATATTTTCCTAAAAATATCTATGCTAATATTTAAGGAGATTATAATTGTTACTTTAAAACAGCCATTAACATTTTCAAAACTTACCATTTTAAATTTCTAATAGGGCAACTACTGATAGATCTAAGTCACATAAACAGAGGTTCTTTGGGGTCCACAATAATTTTTAAGAATGTAAATGGGTCCTAAGACTAAAATATTTAAAAATCACTGTCGCCCAGCCAGGCATGGCTCTGTGGTTGAGCATCGACCTAGGATCCAGGAGATCGGGGTTCGATTCCCGGTCAGGGCACATGCCCGGGTTGCAGGCTGCAGTCGATCAATGACTCTCTCATCATTGATGTTTCTATCTCTCTCTCTCTCTCTCCCTCTCTGAAATCAATAAAGATATACTTAAAAAAAAAAAATCACTGTCTTAGAAAACTCTCCAAATTATTTTTGGAATGGTTTTGCAGAAATACACATTGCTTCTTTCCTACTTCATATATAGAACAGCAAATGGCAGCAGAAAAAGAGCAAATTACCTACATTATAGAAACTAACCACCATGAGCATTAGGTCTATAGATAAGTTATACCTCCTTTTACCAGCTTGGCTCCCTATAAATACTCCAACAAAGAACTTCATGTCCACCCACAAAAGTTAGCCATTAAGACTGTGTCCTCACGGAGGCAGGGGTGTAGTTTACTCTTACCTGATGCAGTGTTCCAACCTAGCCTCCTGCTGGAACACTGTGTCAACCCTGCCTCCCTCCTGAGGGTTCTGCTCTGCCCCTGACATCATCAGAGCATCAGGGCTGAAAAAGAAGAGCATGAGCCTAAATTATT